GTATTTTACTCGATAAGAAACTGACAGGGCAAGACAGTGCAGGGGTTCCTGCTGAGGCCATTTTAGGTTTAACTGGAATCTGACCTCCTTGATGGGCAGCCCTGTCGAAAATTACCCAGCTCTATTCTAGGAGCTGGAGGTCAAGTGCTCCAGCTAACTTATCTTAGCTTTTGTTCAACCGCCTGCTTGTGCGAACCCCCCCCCCCCACTTCAGAGCAAGATACCTGGGCTTTTGCCTTTAAAAACCCCATGGTCTAAATGCTCAGGGGTATACGTGGGTTCCCAAATACCTGTGTGTAGTCCAAGCCGGCTATAAAATGTGTCTGAGTGCTCTCTGGTGGACTCCCTGTCACAAACTTGCTGAAGTAGTCCAAAGCGGAGCCTGAATCCTTTTCTCTTTTATGGAAAAACATGGATAGTGAAGAAAGACTAACCTCTGTCTCTGGTGAGTTAAACTAAGAGACTATGAAATTTACATGGGAGCCCAGGCAAGGTGTTTTATTACTGTGGTTTTTGTTTTGCTTTTAATCTTTTATTTTATGTGTATGGATGTTTCCCACACGTGTGCCTGGTGCCCATGGAGACCAAAAGAGGGCATCAGATCCCCTAGAACTGGAGTTTCAGACAGTGTGAGCTGCCATGTGGGTGCTGGGAATTGACCTTCAGTCCTCTGGAAGAGCAGTGAGTGTTTTCAACTGCTGAGCCACCCCCAGAGCCTCGGCTTTCCAATGACCACGTGACCATGAGCATGCTCCACAGTGCTTAGATTTGCCTTTGTTTCTGACACACTTTTACTTACAGTCACTGTCAGATCCAAAGGAAACTCCAATTCACCCAAACTCCATAAAAGAGTCCATGCATCCAGAAATGAGCTCAAGCTGGATGATAAAGGGATTTCTGCTCATTAGACAAAAGCCAGCATTCCACAGGAAACTGTGAAAGTGGTTCCTATCTGCAAAAGAAGTCATTTCCCTACCTCTGGAAGATGGGACAAATGACTACAGGTGGTTGCATATTAAGCATGCGCCATCCTCCAGGCAACCTTGGGACCACAAGCGTCTGTTGAACATTTCAAAGTCCATTCTAGTCTTCTCACCTTCCTAGGCCTTCCTCCTCCCAGTTCTCTTCCTCCTCTTCTCCTCTTTCCTCTCCTCTCCTCTCCTCTCCTCCCTCTCTTTTCTCTCTTGTTGGACAATCTTTTGTGCACCCTGTGAAGATTGTCTTTGTATATTCAGTGGTTGCTTGCTAAGCCAGCAGAGAACTGAGTACTGTCTGGACTTGGATATTGTTGTTCTTACGGTTCATCTCTTGTCTTATATTTTGTAAACACTCTTTCTCACTTCCTTTTGATTGGCTTGCTCAAGATCTGATGGCCAATAGCTAGGCAGGAAAGGAAAAGCAGGACTTCCCGGCTGAGAGAGGGATTGTCAGGGATCTTTGGACCCTGAGGGCAAAGGGAGCAGGGGCAGCTGAAGGGGTGTTTGGAAGCCTGGTGAATAAAAAAATGAGGACTTTCAGGACCAGCTTCAGGGAGGCAGATCAATTTTTTTCAGGATGAATGAAGGCTATATAGAGCATTAGGGACCAGCTAGAGAGTTCCAGGGTGAGTATAGACCATTGGCTGATAGCCTAAAGTTCTGAGATGCCTCATTTACATGGAGAGGCATTCCAGGAATCCGCAAGTCTATTTTTTTTTCTTTTTTTTCTTTCTTTCTTTCGTTTTTGCCTCCTGGCTGAACAGGTTCTTATCAGGAGAAAAGGAGTTGAACCCATAAATTCCCTAAGGACCACTTGACATTCCCCAGGTAGAGAGTGTGGGGATCTGGGCTCCCTTTGCAGAGAAGAGGAAGTCTAGCCAACAAAAGGAGTAAACCTATTTTACCTGAAGTTTAGGGCTTTCCAGGTATAGAGGACTACAACCTTAGCATCGGGGGTTTCCAACGCTGGCAGATCAAGAAAGTACCACTATACTCTCGCTCTCCCTCCCCCTCTATGTCCCTGGTTTTGTTTTTTTCTACGCAGGGTTTCTCTGTGTAGCACTGGCTGTCTTAGAACTCTCTCTGTGAACTGTTAGGCCTCAAATTCAGGACAACTGGCTGAGATGCCAACTCACATATCAAAGCAGACTCTGGCTGCTGAGTTCTCCCAGCATGGCTCAGTTCCTACTTGTTACAGGGTCCTCCTGGTTTGCCCAAACTGCTCGCCCCCCTCCAGCCCAGAGGCTGGGCTGCCCTTCCTCCAGCTGTATAATCCAGCCATTTTAGCTATGCCAGCCCTTTTTGCCTCTTTTTGCCCTTTGGCCTCCTGACCTCTCGGTTTCCCTCTGCCCTCCTCCCTCTCCTCACATGGCCTGGTTCAGTTCGCTGAGCATGTCCACTCTAGACTCACCCAGATGTCTCTGTCTCTGCCCCTTTCTCTGTTCTCCCTCATATCTACAATAAACCGTATCCTCCACCATACCTAGGAGCAGTGATGTCATCCTTTTTACTTCTCTTTTTTTTTCACTCATAGACCAGGCTGGCCTTGAACGCAGAGATCTGCCTGCTTCTGCCTCCCAAGTGGTAAGATTCATGGCATGCATGGTTTTCCCCTCTGCTTCTGCTGGTCTCATTTTTCTGTTTTCTCAGTTCTCTGTTTCTGCTTATTCTCTCTTCTCTTGCAGATAATTTCTCTCTTTGCTCTGGACTCTTCCAGATGCCTTTGGCTGTTCTTTCTCTCTCTCAATGAAAATCTTCCCAAACAATGGAGCAATCCTGTCGGCCGTTTCCTTACTGTGTCCCCCACCTCCCCCAAATACACAGAGGGCGTGACTTTTTTTTTTTTGAGTATGGCTTTTCTTCTGCTTTCAGAAGGACCTGGATCCAGGACCCAGGCTTGCAGGAGCTAGAGATAAACTTGAGCCACACTGTTAAACAAACAAGACAGAAAGACCTGGGGAAGCCTGAGGCAAGTGTTCCTAGGAAGCATGCCTGTGTGCCCGGGCTGTATGCTCTGTCAGACACAAGAAGACCGGATCCGTAAGCTCCCTCGTGTGCGGCATCATCTTACTGTAGCAGGGTTTGCCATCAGCTGGGGAGTTTGCCTCTTCTCTGACACCAGCTCCTGAGAATCGGCATGCTACCAGGTTAGAATATATTTGTTTGCATTTTAAGCTTATAATGAGAAATGCCATCTGCCATGGGCAGACCAGCACTAGGAGTCTGTAGTAAGAAAGCAACAGCGAGGTCTTTGTCCTTGTGGAAAGCGTGAGTGCTGAGGGCTTACCTGAGGGCCTGGATCCCCGAGGGTGAGAGGCGTGATGAGCACACACTTCCTGGGTGTCATCATCATCATCATCATCAGCAGCAGCAGCAGCAGCAGCAGCCACAGGAATTGTTACCTTTCTTGTAAGAACTCCAGTATCTTTGGGCTGGAGAGGTGGTTAAGAGCACTTGGAGCTTTTCCATGGGACCTGGGTTCTGAACTTCCTGGCACCTACCTGGTGGCTCAGAACTGTCTGAAGCTCCAGGCCCCTGGGATCCATCGCCCTCTTCTGGTAGTTGTGAGCACTGCATGCACATGACCCATAGATAAGCATGAGAACAAAAACTCATGCAAAGAAATACATTTTTAAAAATTAAAGAATCCAGCATCTGTGGGCTTCTTACCGTGTTGTTTGGGACATTGCCACTGTCAATCGGTCTCAAAAGGAGTCAGGATCTAGGCCCAGATAACTGTTTAGAAGCCAAACCAAGAGCAGGGAAAATCTAACTTCTGTTCAATCCTTCAGCTCCTAACAGAACGCTCTTTGAGGCTACCCCTATTGGGGTGGGAATTCAGCTTGCACCATGGAGGAATGTGTCTCCTGCCCAGCTCTTTTTCATTCATTGTCAAAAGTTCGAAGGATCCATCCTGAGGGTGCTATAATGAGACAGTAAAAAAGAACAGATGCAAAGCAGGTCCAGGGACCTTAAAGTGTTCGGGAGCTGCAGCAGGAGCAGAAGCAGCTGCAGCAGAAGCCTTCCCCTTGCCCAGGACGCTGCCAGCCAGCAAGTCAGCCCCGAAGAGTGAGAAACAGTTCCATGGGGCATGGAAAGAGTGGCAGGAGAACTCCCTCCGACACCCTGACCTTGCAGGCCAAAGTAGGTAGGAGCTGGGGCTGCCATAGCTTTTATATCATAAAGAATTCTAACTTTGGGCCTGGAGAGACGGCTCGGAGTTCAAGAGCACTGGTTGCTCTTCCAGAGGACCTAGAATTGGTTCCTAGCACCCACCTGGTGGCTCACAACAATCTGTATGTCCAGTTCCAGGTGATCCGACAAACCTTGTTTGTTCTAACTTCTATGGGCATCAGAAAGGATTTGGTACACATATATCTCTGCAGAAAACCGCTCACGAGCACGAAATGAAGGTAAATAAATCTTCAAAAACTAATCACTAAAAAGGATTGTAGCTTTCATTTGTTATTACAGGCAGTGAAGCTGGGGCTGTTTGACACATGGAGCTGAGGGAGGGCTCCCTGCTGTCCATTCTTGCTTATTTTGGTATCAGGGGAATGGGAAGGAGGCCACCGGCCCCTGACGGTCAGGAGTAAGCTGTGGAGGAGAGGAGCATTCAGCATTCATCCTGTAAGACTGGAGACACGGTGTAACGTTCTGTATCTGGTTAGCTATCATCGTTGACGTCAGTGTGTGGGGGCTGAACCCACACAGGCCACCCCGTTTGTGCCTTCAGTCACCTTAGCAAACAGGGTGGCCGTTGTTCCCTCCACAGCCTCCATCTGCTCAAATTGTTCGCCTCCTCCAACCCACTCAATGCCTAAGACTCGTGTCCGAGTGACAGCTGGGAGCGGGTGCTGCAGCTCACGTGAGCAATGCTGACAGCGACCCTGGGTGGAGCTGCTAGCCAAAGGAGAGACAGCTCAACAGCTGTGTCTGCATGCTCCCTACCAGGTAAATGTGAACCCCACGGGTACCCAGTCCAGCATGATGATGATTCACTTATTATATTTTTTTATTTACTTAAGTTTATATGCTAATTTGAAGAAATGAATGAATGTTATTTGTAGAATAATGAAGTTTAAAATTTGAATACAAACAGGGGCTGGAGAGACTGCTCGGTGGCCAAGAGCCCTGATGCTCTTGCAGAGGACCTGGGTTCCATTCCTAGGACACACGTGGTGTGGCTCACAATCACCTGTCACTCCAGTTTTTGGGAATCTGACGCCCTCTTCTGGCCACCTTGGGCACTTCATGGACAGGGTGCACAGACATAAGCAGCAGGCAAAAGATGCACATAAAATACAAAATAAATGAATCAATAAGACATTTAAGACAATCAGCTAGGAAAGTCCACTCGGGACTTACTACCTTCATCCTCTGTGCTGTACTTAATGTTCTAGAAAGAAATGAGAGGAAGGAATGGCAGTTTATTTGTAAGCTGTTCCTTTCCCTACATATACAGACCATTCCCGACTGCAGATAGAAAACTTTTCACGGCCGTATCTGAGCTAGGCTGGCCTGGGACCAACAGAATAGGACAGAAATGACACCATCCTGCTTCCAAGAGGCAGCCTTGAAGCCTCTGCTGGCCCTGTGCTTATGCTTTCTTCAGGGAACCCAGAGAGGACACAACAGCTAGGCCACCTTGGGAACAGCATGCTGTACCTCACCTGCTGTTCAGCTGCCTCATTCTGTCCCAGCCTAGTCATAAGGAGAAGCTGCTTGAAGACAGATGTGCAGGATGCTGGTGCAGCCACTAGACATGTGAGTTAATCCTGCAGATGACTCTTGGGTCCAGATGCAGTCCATGGTCCATCTGGAATCAAATGAGGCACCCCAAGCGAGAAGTTTCATGATAGAGGAGACTAGCTTGAGAGAAAGCCACGGTTTGTGGTTTAGGAGAGTGTTGGCCAGAGGACATTGAACTCACTGATTTTATCCTTGGGATGGATTCGTATTTGAGATATGTGTACATATTTTATCTCTGTGTATATACATGTCCTGGCAGATAGCTCACTGGCAGTACACTAGCCTAGCACGCACAAGTGGCCTGTGCTTTTTGATCATCCTAGAAGCTGGACGCCCCATCACCTCGAGTAGCAAGTAGCATCCCTGCCCTGGAGTCTGGGCCTTCACAGTGACAGTCATGCAGCTAGTGAAGCCAGTGAGCGTGGGAGCAGGCTTTGACTGACACCCCTGCCATGACTGGCATTGTATGGCCAAGGGCTCTTGTTCTCTCTTCCCTTTCCTTGCTGAATCTCTCTTCTGTAGAGAGAGAATCTCTCTTCTGTTCCCCTTCCCCACCTCTACTCACCCACACTCTTCTGTAGCCCGTTCCCCTTCCCCACCTCTACTCACCCACACTTCCATTTCTGTTTCAGTGGAGACAGTGCCGTGCTTGAGAGGAGTCCCTGGGCGCTGTGCTCAAGCTCCCAGCACTGTAGAATGTGGACACTGCTCCCCCTCCACACTTACAGTCCTCCCCATTCTCACCCTCCTCACTCAGAGCCCTCCCTCCCCCCCCCCCCTCCCCCCCACACTCAGAGCCCTCCCTCCCCCTTCTCACCTCCACACTCAGAGCCCTCCCTCTCTCCCCCTTCTCACCTCCACACTCAGAGCCCTCCCTCCCCTTCACACCCTCCACACTCAGAGCCCTCCCTCCCCTTCTCACCTCCACACTCAGAGCCCTCCCTCCCCTTCTCACCTCCACACTCAGAGCCCTCCCTCCCCTTCTCACCTCCACACTCAGAGCCCTCCCTCCCCTTCACACCCTCCACACTCAGAGCCCTTCCTCCCCTTCACACCCTCCACACTCAGAGCCCTCCCTCCCCTTCGACACTCAGAGCCTACCCCCAACCCCTGTCTCACCTCAACACTCAGAGCCCTCCCTCCTTCCCTTTCTCCAGTGAAGGTCTCTTAGTGATTAGCCTTCTTGAGGTCCATCTGCAGGCCATAAGAACACACTTTCACCAGGAGCTGTTAAAGGGCTTTAGAACTTGCCATCTGGGGGCTGTGGAGAGAGCTCAGCGCTTGTTGTGTCAGCAGCGCCTGAGTCTAATCCCCAGGTGTGTACACAAGGCTGGCCTGCACTGGTAATCCACACACTGCGGAGGCAGGAACAGCTGGACCCCTGGGGCCTGTTGGCTATCTAGCCTAGCCTGCTTGGCAATTCCAGGCCAGTGAGAGACTGTCTCAAACAACCAAGATTGATGGTGTTTGAACAATGACACTGAGGCTGATCTCTGGCCGAGCACGCACACGAGCACACACACACACACACACACACACACACACACACACACTCTTTCTCTTTGATTACAGGCAGCTTAATAATTTGATCATTGAATTGTGGGTGTGTATGAAAGAGAGGAAAATTAAAAATTCACACTGACCAGCATTTTCTGCAAATATAGTTTATGACTAGAGGAGTAAAGTGAGTGGCTTTTCAGCAAGAGCCGGTGAGGGCTCCAAATGTTGCTGTGGGCTCAGGCTGTGTCCACCACATCGGTTACGGTGGGGGAAGGAGGGTGTGTGCGGGGAAAGTGCTTCTCAGACACTCTGGTTGGGAAGCAGTTAGGAAGGGGTGTGTGTTCAGATGTGGAGGTGTGTGTGTTCGAGAGCGCGGCTGGAGGTCCCCTGAGTTAGAGAGATGACTTTCAGACTCCTGAGCTGGTGTGTGTGTATGTGTGTGTGTGCGCGAGCGCGCACACAGGAATAGATGTGGGACAGACCTCCCATGCGGGTTCTTTTTCTTTCCTTTTCTCCCCAAGGCTGAGCGTTTCGTTGAGATACATTCTGGAAGATGGCCCCACTTGTATTATGAAACCCCACGTTTTTGGTGAACTCACAGACATGCGACCACCAGCAGCTACTACAGCACATTTTTTTCCCAATCCAGAACAAGGCTTGGTGCTACTTCCAAGCAGCTTGTGTCTCGCTGGCCCTAGAGCACTAAACTGTTCTCTGTCTCTTCAAACAATTCCGTTCGAGACATTTTTATAAAGTTACAATAGTACAGCATAATTTGTGACTGGCTTTAAAAATTAAGAATAATGTTTTTGAGACACAGAGCTGGGAAAAGGGCAGAGACAGAGGTGACAGGATTGTGGGGGCTGGGCCCAGCAGAGCAGCCTGCACCCAGGCCAGGGAGGACAGGAACCACATGATGCTCCTGTCACCAGCATCTGTACTTTGGTCCGGCTTGCTAGTCCAGTGGGAGAGCCCATCCCAAGGCAGGCTCTGTCCAGCCTCCCCTGGGGTCTGGCCCTTCGGAAGTCTCCTTGAACAGCTGGGGCAGGCTGGCCACCATGACTAAGAACTCCATGTCCACTCCTGTATCGAAGCCCAAGCAGGCCAAGGCCGCCAAGAAGTCCACGGACTACCCCAAGTGTTCAGACATGCTCGTGGCTGCCATCCAGGCAGAGAAAACCACACCGGCTCCTTGCTCCAGTCCATCCAAAAGTACATCAAGAGCTACCACAAGGTGGGTGAGAACACCGACTCCCGGATCAAGTTGCCTGTCAAGCACCTGGTGACCACTGCTGTTCACAAGCAAACCAAAGGAAGGGGTGCCTCAGGCTCCTGCAGGCTGGCCAAGGGTGATGAGTCCAAGAGGTTGGTGGCTTTCAAGAAGACCAAGAAGGAAGTCAAGAAGGCGCCACTCCAAGGAAGGCAGCCAAGGGCCAAGAAGGCTTTCCTCCAAAGCCCAAGCAAGAAACCCAAAGCCACACCATCAAGAAGGCCAAGAAGAAGCCGGCTGCCATGCCCCAAAGCCCAGGATTGTCAAAGCCAAACCAGTCAAGGCATCCAAACCCAAGAAGGCCAAACCCGTGAAGCCCAAAGCCCAGTCCAGTGCCAAGAGAGCCAGCAAGGAGAAGTGACCATGAAGGTTTTGCTATGGACACTCCTCCCTCCCTCCTGTTTTCTGTAAACACATCTCTCTCCTGAGCTCATTGTAACCCTTTGCCCATTCTATTCTGACGTTATGCACAAAGGACAGAGCTCAGATTCCTCAGACAGACATTGTGGAATGATTCCCTTTTCCTTAACCCATTGTGCAAAGACAGCGAATGGACTCCATCTTTGTGGTGATGAGGATGTACTTTTTTCTTGATTTGGTATTAACCTTACAGGGTTAGGGGTTTTACGGGGGTGGGGGTTGTGTGTTTCATTGGGTGGTTTGTTTACTATGAAGGTAAATGGAACTGCCAACATTCTGGCTAGGTGAGGAGACCCAGGGACTAAGGTTTGTCTTTTAAGGCTTTCTTAGTCTGCTCATCCCTTGGGAGTCTCAAAACCTTTGGTGGGGAGGAGGTGGTACCCCAGCCAGCTGGCCAAGGGGGGCGGAACTCCCGGGGCTGCCCTACCAACGGTGAGCAGTTGGATGGGGTTTGTTTGTTTGTTTTTGTTTTGTTTGTTTCTTCTGCTGTACTGTTTCACCGTTGTCTAGAAGGGGAAGGAGGTCCAAGTGACAGTGGTTAGAGGAGCCATAGCTACTCACAACCAGGATCTAGCCATTGGGAAGGAGGTGCCACTGTCCTGCTTTTCAGCTATCGGCAGACTTGGGTTAAGCGGGGGTAGGGTGGGGTGGAGGGGTGAGGGGGTGGGGGGGTGGGGGGGTGGATTTAGGGGGAGGGGTGGGAGTCACCCAGGTATCACTTTTATTTTTTCTTTGTTTCAGTGTGTAATCTCATGAGCCTGCGCTGCTCTTGTAGAGGACCTGAGTTTAGTATCCACCCCCACTACACACACACACACAGATACACACATACACTCACACTCACATACAGTCACACATACTCTCACACACACCCTCACACACTCACGTACGCTCACACACTCTCTCTGTCACACATTCACAGACTCATCCATACACTCACACGTTCTTTCTCATACACACACACTTAAAAAATAATTAAAAAGAAGCAAAGCAAGCAAGCAAGCAAGCCGCACTTTCAAGCCTTGCTGTCTCTTTTGCCCAACTCTGGCTTTTCTCGGGCGAAGCTGGGACTCACCTGGAGACATGTTGAAGTGGGAACAGGGTCTAGGAACTGTTGGAAGCTGCCTCCCCGGGCTTGCTGTCAGCCATCCGCAGCCGCCCCCCACCCCACCCCCTCGACCCTGCCTCACTCCACACCCTGCCTTGTGCAAGGTTCCCCATGGACATTCTGGACAAAAACCGTTGTGGTGTAGGCTGGCGCTTGTTCATCTCGAGTCTGTGGCTCAGGAGGACGTGACGCCGTCTGTATGACATCTTCATCACAGACCTTGCTGGACGTTCTCGCACGTGTGGCCGCAGGTCCCGAGGCTTTGAAGCTTATTGGAAGTCATTAGTCACAGCAAGCCAGTTCACTCTTTCAGAAATAAGGATTTTCAAAGGTCAGGTTGGCGTTTAATTGACGATGAATCTTCTTGTGGGCTGAGTTGTGGCTCCAAGCGGCTGCATCGAACAAGATCTGGCAGCACCGAGAGTCCTGCAGCTAGCTGCATGGCCTCATGTGCAGTGGGCTCCGAGCACCTTTAATGACAGGGCGACAGGGAGGAGCGGGCAGCTTGCACTTTTTCTTCCATCGCCTGTCTTGCACACTCTATTCCCCTCCTCCTTTCATTTCCTCCCCTTCTGTATGGCTCTTTCCTGCTCTCCTCACCGAGAAAGGCAAGAGGGACCCTGTCTCCATGCTGACCTGTGGAGTCTTGGTACCACCTTCTGGGGAATGGGCAGAAAGAAGCACGGACCGCACCTGTGGCAAATATTCTAGGTGCCTGGGCTCCTTCTAGCGATGTTCATGGTGTTCCAGAGACATCTAGAACATTAGAAGATGGTGCTGCTTCTAGACTTAGGTCAGCAACACACTTGAAGCTGCAGACAGTTGTGAACTGTGCTTGGAACTGAAGCTGGGTCCTTGGGAAGAGCAGCTCTTAACTGCTGAGCCAGCTCTCCAGCCCACGCCTTCCTTGATGGGTATGGGGAAAACGGGAGGTTTTGTGAGCAACTTTCCTGACCCAGGAATCTGGAGCCCACAGCCTTTTAAACCATCCAGGAGGCAGCCATTGGAGGCTAGGATGGATGGTGGGGAGACCTGGGGGTTGGTGTGTGAAGCGAGCAGCCACAGCATATCTGCAGTCAGGAAGCAGAGAGACAGGAATGGTGGCATCCAGCTCACTTCCTGCTTGTCCTCAGAGCTCCCAGTGCAGCCCATGTTCAGGTTGGGCCTTCACTCCTCAGTTAACCTTTCTGGAAATCCCCTCATAGACACACCCAGAGGCGTGCCTCGTAGAGACTCCAGGTCCAGTCGAGTTGACAGCAAATGTCAAGCACCATAGAGTCCGCCACTTCAACAGGCTGTCACTGTCCAGAGCTGGGACCCACCTGTTACAGGCGACAGAGCAATTTGCTCCCTCACTGTTACACTTGCCAGTTATTT